GTTTTTGTTTTTATTTTTGCCCAGAGAACTTTTGTCATTCTGTTCAGGCTGCAGTTAACAAGATACCATAAACTGAATAGCTTATATTAAAAAAATGAGAAGTTGGCCTGGTGTGGTGGCCCATACCTGTAATCCTACCACTTTAGGAGGCTGAGGCAGGCAGATTGCTTGAGCCCAGGAGTTTGAGACAAGGCTCGCCAACGTGGAGAATCCCCATCTCTACTAAAAATACAAAACATTAGCTGGGCGTGGTGTCACATGCTTGTAGTCCCAGCTATTCGGGAGTCTGAGGTGGGAGGATCACCCGAGCCTGGGAAGTTGAGGTTATAGTGAGCTGTGATTGCGCCATTGCACTCCAGCCCAGGCGACAAAGTGAGACCCTGTCTCAAAAATAAATAAAAATACAAATCAGAAGTTTATTTTCACAGTTCTGGAGGCTAGGGAGTCCAATATCAAGGCAGATTGGGTATCTGGTGAGGGCCCGCTTCCTGGCTCATACATAGATGGCCGTCTTTTCATTGTCACCTCGTGTGGATCTCTCTCAGGCCTCTTTTAGAAGGGCACTAATCCCATTGTTGAGGGCTCCGCCCCCATGACCTATCTAATCACCTCCCCAAATCCCCAGCTGCTAATATCACCACCTTGAGGGTAAAGATGTCAACACATTAATTTTGGAGGGACATAAACATTCAGGCCATACCAACTTTTAAAAAAATGGTACAAAAGTAGTTGAAGTCTTGACTTGGCTACTTTTTTGTCTTTTCCATAACCTTCAACCTCTCCTTGACACAGAGGAGCAATTGTTGCCTTCTAGAGCATGAGGGAGCCCGAAACATTCTTGGCTTCCCTAGGAAGAGGGGTTGACTGGCAGAAACCTCCGTCTGCCTGCTTCAGTGCTCTGGACAAGGGTTCATTGGTTCCATGTTGTCATGGCTGCCCAAGAAATGAACGTGCATGAACTGCCTGGGTGACTGAGCCTGCTGTGCTGCTACGCACAGTGCCATTCTGACAGTCCTCCACTCCACACCCAAGGTGCTTCGTGACAAGATAAAGAAGACTCCTCACTTAATCACCCTGACCAGCTGCTTCCTGGCCCCGGTTATCACACCCCATTCCCAGAGGCTGCTTGATGGCACACCAGGGACTTCACTAAAGCCTGACCGCACTCCTGTCGTATTCTCATTTCTGATTTGGTCTTTTCCTCTTTTCCCTTATTTTGCCCTTCTCGATTTCAAACTTGACAGCTTTTTATTCCTCCCGATGGAAACCTCCCCGTCCTCCTGGCAGCATTCTTGCTGTGCTGTGCTGTGCCTCATGGTCGAGGCATTTCATAATCACTTTGGGTTTTTCCACACAGTAGCAGTGACCACATTTGGACCATGGACAGATTCAGCAGCCACACATAGGTAGCTGATGGGATGGAGAGACATTTGCACAAGCTTCTGGTTACTAAAGTGGTGTCAGTCTTCTTGATGTTTTTAAACTGACTTTGGCCAGTTGAGGTGGCTCATGCCTGTAATCCCAGCACTTTGGGAGGCAGAGGCAGAGGCAGGGGGATTAACTGAGGCCAGGAGTTAGAGACCAGCCTGGGCAACATAGCAAGACCCTATCTCTGTTTTAAAAATAAATAATTAAATAAGTAAGTAGAACTTACTTTGACTCTACCTGGTTGTACCTGGTACATCTATGGTGAGCTGACTTGAATTAATTTGTCTAAAGTAGCCCCTTAAAAATAAAATGGTTCGTAGGTGGCGCCAGATTGGGGAAAAGAAATCCACATTGAAAATGAAATTGTGGCTGGGTGCGGTGGCTCACGCCTGTAATCCCAGCACTTTGGGAGGCTGAGGCAGGCGGATCTGCTTGAGCTCAGGAGCTTGAGACCAGCCTAGGCAACAAGGCGAAACTCTTGTCTCTACAGAAAATACAAAAATTAGCCAGGCGTGGTGGCACATGCCTGTAATCCCAGCTACTTGGGAGGCTGAGACAGGAGAATCGCTTGAGCCAGGGAGGTTCAGGCTACAGCAAGCCATGTTTGTGCCTCTACACTCCAGCCTGGGAGACAAGGATGAGACCCTGTCTCAAAAAGAATAAGAAAAGAGAATGTGTGGTGGGCTTCGAGTAGCTTCTCTAAAGTTTTTGTGGTTTGGTTTGGTGGTTTAGCGAGTCAGCCACTGGGGAAGAACTGGAGCTCGTGCCCTGCTTCTTAGGCTCCTGTTAGGGTCTCTCAGGGACAGAGCTCATGCTGTTCCTCGCACTTTAAAAAACAAAACTAAACACTTCTGCCCCCATTTAATTATAAAAGTAACACACTTCCTAGTACAAAATCCAGAAAAGATTAAAGAAGAAAATAATAAAAGTTAGATCATCTCTTCACCTAGACATCATCTGTTAGCATTTTGGTGTATTTTTTCATGCTCACACATACTTTTTTTAATAACAAAATCGAGATCTTTCTATTTCTCCCAACATTATACTGAAAGCATTTAAGCATTTTTCCCACGTTGTTAAACCACTCTTAGGCTGGGTGTGGTGGCTCACACCTGTAATTGCAGCACTTTGGGAGGCCAAGGTGGGCAGATCACCTGAGGTCGGGAGTTCAAGACCAGCCTGGCCAACTTGGCAAAACCCCGTCTCTACTAAAAATACAAAAATGAGCTGGACAGTGGGGAGTGTTCCTGTAATACCAGCTACTAGGGAGGCTGAGGCAGGAGAATCACTTGAACCCAGAAGGCGGAGATTGCAGTGAGATCATGCCACTGCACTCCAGTCTGGGTGACAGAGCAAGACTCCGTCTCAAAAGCAAAACAAAACAAAAAACAAAACACTCTTAAAAACATCACATGGATGGGTCATACACTGTTGGATCATTCCATTTTGGGGAATGTATTTACAGTTCTGCACTGTTAAAGAGAATACATCTTTGTAGTTAAATGATTGTCCACCCTTATGATTATTTCTTTGGGAGAGAATCTTAGAAGAATTATTGAATACAAAGAAGTGCATTATTTCTTTTATATGGACAAATTGCTTTCTGGGAAAACATACTACGATAAATTTTCCCAGAAGAAAGAGAGATTCTGTCTGATGTTTTCTCTTTAGTATTTACTGTTTACAACGATTGATAATTTGTTAAGTGAAAAGTAGTACCTCGTTGGTACCTTAGTTTACATTGGGTTATTCGGGAGGTTGAACACTTTTTCCGTTTTTCTTAGCCACTTATTTCTTTCAGTAGTGTGTTCATGTCTTTTTGGCACTTACTCTGTGAGGTGTTAGCTTTTTTCTTACAGGTTTGTAAGAGCTCTTACTATGTTAAGAGCTCTTACATATGTTACCCTTTGTCAAAATCGTAGATATTTTTCTCTACCTGGGTATTTGCTGATTGTATGAATATCTGTGTTTATGTATATGTAAGTTTTTTTTCTTTTTTTTTTTTACATGGAAACAGGGTTTCACTATGTTGCCCAGGCTGGTCTTGAACTCCTGGGCTCAAGCAGTCCACTTACCTCAGCCTCCCAAGTGCTGTGATTATAGGCGTGAGCCACTGCACTTGGCCAAGTTTTTAGTTTTTATGTAGACGGCTCTGTCGTTACGTTTTTTCACTTTTGGGGAGTATAACTTTAATTTTAATTCTTTAATCTACCTGTAGTCCTCTTTCTGGGCCATCTGTGATTTTTCCCTTGTCAGCTGCTGTTTGGATTAAAGCTTTGAGCCTTCCTCATCACCTTTTCCCCACATCCTTTTATATGAAGTTAAAAGTCACTTTGTCTACGTTAAAAAAGAAAAATTCCCTCTGGGAAGCAATTCAGCAATTCCCTTGGGAAACAATTCAGAGGGAAGACACTTGGACTTCAGTGCAAAAAACATGAGTGGAATGAGTAAGGATTCATTTTGCAAAATATGACTTTGCACAGTTGTGAAAACTCAGCCAGGGCATCTTGCCAAGTATCCTATATACTGGCTGAAGAATCCACAGGGCAGTGAGTTGTAATAAAAAGGGCTATTTTTGCACTCCTAGACTCCTGCAGTGAAAGAACTTGTACTATTTCCAAACCAGACCCAGCCTTCTGTTTGATAGATTCTGCCACTTCCTGGAGGCTTGTGTGTTTATTCTTAGGCCAAAGTTTCATGTTCTGCAAACTGAGCACGTGCAGATGCTACGTGGTCCATGAGGGCTCATCTGCCCTTTCCTGTCTAGATGGGAATCCCAGCCCTAGAGAATGGGGCACACTTCTATTTTCTTAACTGTGTTTTTCTAATTCTGACTCTTGGGGGTTCCACAGAGATTCTTCAGGGGTTTTGCAAACTGTGAAACATTTTTTTTGCCCAACACTAAAGATTTTAATTACCAAGAGAGTGTTTCATTGCTGACTTTTCATATTTGGGGTCCCTCTAAGATTTTTTTTTTTTTTTTTTTTTTTGGAGACAAAATCTCGCTCTGTCGTTCAGGCTGGAGTGCAGTGGCGCGATCTTGGCTCACTGCAACCTCCACCTCCCGGGTTCAAGCGATTGTCCTGCCTCAGCCTCCGGAGTAGCTGGGACTACAGGCACGCACCACCAGGCCCAGCTAATTTTTGTATTTTTAGTGGAGATGGGGTTTCACCATGTTGGCCAGGATGGTCTCGATCTCTTGACCTCATGATCCACCTGCCTCAGCCTACCAAAGTGCTGGGATTACAGGAGTGAGCCACTGCGCCCGGCCCCCTCTAAGATTTTTGTTGTTGTTGTTGATTGCTGAGATGTCTGAAAAGCCCTGACCTGGCCATTCTAAGGTCTCTTCTAGTTCTTAAATAATATAATGCTGTATCTTCTCATGCCACCAGCTCACCCAAGGGGCCTTTCACAAAAGTGGTCTCCAGGTATGAAATTCTGTGTTCCTTTTTTGTCCCCCAGCTGCCTGGTGGCTTTAGGACGTGCACATCCTCATGTTCGGGTGTGGAGTTCCTCACCTTTATACCAGCAATAGTAGTTCACGATCGTGAGCTGTATTCTTTCTGTCTCAGGCAGGGAACGTGGTGACAGGAGAAATGGTAGAAGAGCTTATTCTTTCCGGAGCAGATATCATCAAAGTGGGAGTTGGACCAGGTAAGACTTGTTAGGAGCACGGCAGAGGGCGTGTGTGGGGAAGAATGGGATCTGGGGCTTGCGGGGACTGGAGATCTCTAGAAGGGGATGCACGAATGACTCACTCACAGATATTTAAAGCACGCTTTTTCTGGAAGCACCACTGAGCTTCTCAGGGAAGCCCCTGATGCAAAGTATTATTGAACTGCTTTTTGATGCCCCCAGGGACCTTCTGAATGAACTTGGATGTGGTTAGAATATGAGGGCTTGGTTTCAGAACCAACGTGGAAGGAAAGAACGTAGATTTCACTAATGACCTCATGCACCTTGAAAAGGAAAGTGATAGGTGAAGAATCTGTAGAGACAGTTAATAAACATGAATGACTCCAGTTTATGTGAAGGTTTGAGGGACCCCACACATTGCAAATAAGCTTGCAGTGAGGAGGCCACATTTGAACTTGACCCATGGCCTAGGTAATGATCACCTTTGGCTCCTCACCTGATACATATTAGATGTAGATTTTTGACCGTGTTCTTCTCCCAGGCGGGGTTTCTTAGGACCACCCATTGGCACCTTAAGCAGAACAAGGTGGAACCTTCTGTCCTTGTCATGGGTGGTGCCATTTTCTCATGGGGCAGAGTTACTGTTTGCTTGCCCTCTTTGCCATGCATGAAGATGAACTGCCATGTTTTAAATTCATCCATGCACATCCGTTATTAACCAGACACTAACATTGAGGAGCAAGAAAGAAGATACACATTTTCACTTGGGACTAAAAAACAGCAAAGATTTTTCAAAAGAATCTCACACCCAAATGACACTACCAAAAAAGGAAGCAAACCTAACCCAACATGAGAGGAATCTGTGGGAAAATGCACAGCTGGGAGGCACTGAAGACGCTGTTGAGCTGTGACTTGGCTCCGTGATCAGCCTGAGGGAATTGGATGTGTATGAAGAGAGTATTAGGAAGAAGAGCCCTGTAGATTCCTAAAAATGCCCAAGCTTTTAACATACAGAGAGATTTTCAAGGTTACGTTTTTCATATTGCCACTTGTTTAAGCCAGTTAATAATGTATTCTGAGCAAGTGGGAAGAGGTCTTTACTGAGTATCTATCATTATTGAAAAGACAAAGGATAAGGCCCTGTTCTTCCTTACCAGGCTGCCTCCTCGTAGGGCAGGCTGTAATAGATAGACTGATAATAGAACAAAATAGGCTAATAAACTAGGAAGACTCTTTTTTTCCCCAAAGGCAGGGACACTCACTAGTCGCCTGTTTAATCAGAAATATGGACCTGATGCGGTGGCTCACGCCTGTAATCCCAGCACTTTGGGAGGCCAAGGTGGGTGGATTGCTTGAGCCCAGGAGTTCGAGATCAGCCTGGGCAACATGGTGAAACCCTGTCTCTACTAAAAATACAAGATAAAAATTAAAAAGTAGTCAGGCACAGTGGCGTGCACCTGTAGTCTCAGCTACTTGGGAGGCTGAGGTGGGAGGATCACCTGATCCTGGGAGGTGAAGGCTGCAGTCAGCCAAGATTGTGCCACTGCACTCCAGTGTTGGTGATAGAGCAAGACCCTGTCTCAAGGGAAAAAAAAAAAGGGAAATATGTATTGAGCGTCCGCTAGCTCCCATTGTGTTGGGTGGGTGCTGTACAGGATGTGGAGGTGTGTGAGAAGCTTCTTGGCTCTCAAAGCTTTTTTTTTTTTGAGACAGTCCTGCTCTGTTGCCCAGGCTGGGGTACAGTGGTGCGATCTCAGCTCACTGCAACCTCCGCCTCCCAGGTTCAAGTGATTCTTCTGCCTCAGCCTCCCGAGTAACTGGGGTTACAGGCATGTGCCACCACACCTGGCTAATCTTTTGTACTTTTAGTAGAGACGGGGTTTCACCATGTTGGCCAGGCTGGTCTTGAACTCCTGGCCTCAGGTGATCCGCCCGCCTTGGCCTCCCAACGTGCTGGGATTCCAGGTGTGAGCCACTGTGCCTGGCCTTCTCAAAGCTTTTCTAGATGTGATCTGGAGCATTTACTACACTTGTTTTCTTCCACATCTTTGTGTCTGCATTCTATTTCCCCAGAAGCTGTATTGTCCTTCTGCTCTCACTATCTCTTCCCACCCCTCTGGCTGGCTGTGTAGAACAGATGTGACTAAAGAGAACAAGGGGCCTTCTCTGAGCCTGATGTATGGGAGCTACTTCTTTAAATTGTTTGAATTTAAAGTCTCACACATTCATATTTAAGTCTTACACATTCTTTATGGTAAAAACATTGCATATTACATATCTAAATGATAGCAGTACTGGATGTCTATTGATCGATAGATTTCATTCATTATTGAGCAACCCCTGGGAACTGGGAAAAAAGCATCAGAAATGGATTCCCTGCCCCTCTAGTCAGGAGAAAATAAGTGCCAACTTTTTTCACCTGGGTGTTAATCAAAACCGCCTGTGCCTTATTTAAAGTTGCTTCCTTGGCTGTTCCCAAGAAAGGCAACTGGTCTACCCTTTATAGGGCCCTCACTATGATCAGAGCCCCAGGCCTACTGCAGCTGAGGCCCTCACCCCTGGATCTAGCAATTGAATGGGAGAGGAGGAGAAAAGCCGAGGCTGAACCAGGGGTTAAACCTCTTATTCTGCACAACCTCCGGTTGCAGGGCGGAGGGAAGGCGCCTTCGTGGGAATGAGACTTGTTGGCTCCGGGACTGTGAGTGACATATAGCAGGACACAGGGAGCTACAGGACTTCCGTGGACTCGGCCCCACAGCTGATGCAGGAGAGGGGCTTGCCCTGTGTCTCCTGGTTTCTCTGCTAAATCCAGGCCTGGGGAACACAGACATACGTCTCTGTCTGATCTTGTCCCTAAAGACCCCTGACAGAAATTAGCATCCTACAAGGTAGTGGTGGCCGGGAGCCAGAGAAGAGGCTGGGCCTCAAAGCATCCCACCCCTGGGTCTGGTGGGAGGGAGGAGTTCACGTCTACCTTTACCTGTCCTCAGAGCGCCCTCTCATGCACACAAGACATCCGGGAGGGTCTGAGTGAGTGGCAGTGCAGAGAGGGATGTGGGTGACTCATTCATTCTTGAGTCCACACATTCTTTCAGTGACTATTTATAGTGCCTTATTATATACGAGGCTGTGTTCTCAGCACCTGATAACAACAGTGAATGTCCATGGAGCCGACCACCCAGTAGAGAAGAGAGACCCTTAACATTCTCACACAGATCCTGATTGAAATGCCTCTTTTTGAAACTGCGATGAACAACTCCCCTGGGGCAGTGACATTTAAGAAGAAGCTGGAAAGATGAGAAGGGGTTGGCTGGCTGGCTGGTACAGAGGGGAGTGTCCGAGAGAGAGAACATTGTGTCCAGAGTCCCTATGGTGGGAAGAAACTTGCCCCACTGGAGAAGCAGTGGGGAGGGAGGGGAGCAGGTGGAGCTGGATTCTGCTGATCTGGGTAAAGTGGGGTGCTGCGGGGGCACTGGGAAGCTTGAATAAGGGGAGGTATGATAAAAAGGTCAGAGTGTGACTTGGCCTGGACCTAACTGGGAGAACCACCAAGACTGGGGCTGACTGTGGCACAGGCAGGCAGGAGGGTGCTGGTGTGAGCCGTGCCCTGGAAGTGAACCTCCGGCTGGGCTGCAAGGGACTTGAGGCGGGGCAGCCAGGAGGGAGATGGACAAGCAGCTGGGCCCTGTGGAGCACAGAGCTGAGTGAGAGCAGGTGAGGGTGTGAAGGGTGTAGTTGCTGCAGGCCAGGCCCTGGGCCAAGAGGTACCCCTCCCTGTGCCATCTGCCCTCTGTCACAACCCCAGGAGATTGTGTTTCTCTTTGCATTTTATAGTCCAGGCAGTGAGACTTAAAAGAGGTGAGTCATTTGACAAAGTTTGAAGGTAAAGAAGCTGCGAGGCTGTGGGAGGATTGTGAGAGGCTGTTTAAAGCAGAGTGTAGATTTGTGGAAAGGTGGAAAGGAGTAGGCGTTTAAGTGTGGAGAGATCAGTGCTTGGCCACTGCACGGGAGCCGATGCCACAGGGAGGAGTGGCAGTGACAGGTGCATGGTAGAGGGGAAGGCAATGTCTGGGACATCAGCCAGTGACAGTGATGAGGACTGAAGGGGTACATGACCAGGCGGTGTGGTTTACAGCGACCTCCGGCGTGCAGGTGGGCAGCCCATTCCCCACATCTCCTCTGCCACAAAGGCTCACCCTGGTCACTAGAGCGGGGCTGCGAAGGTGATGGGGGCACATTTCATGTCACAGTGTTCTCATGTATAACCATCTCTTCGGGGGTCAATTTCTTTCTCTGTGCAGGTTCTGTGTGCACCACCCGCACCAAGACAGGAGTGGGGTACCCCCAGCTGAGCGCCGTCATTGAGTGTGCTGACTCCGCCCACGGCCTGCAGGGCCACATCATCTCTGTGAGTCTCTGCCCGGGGCGGGGGTGGGGGGCGGGGCCGGGGGCCGGGGTGTCTTGGGACGCCCTCCTGCACCCTTGCTGCTCTTCTTCCACTGACTGAGCATCCTGTGGGCACGGGAAGGAGCTGGGCACTACGGTCACAGTGCTGACATTCAGCAGAAACAGAGGCTCTGCTGCCCCCAAATTCCACAGTGAGGGTGGCAGACCTGGTAGGCAGAAGCCATACGAGCAGGTTGGGTGGTGCATCCGACGAGGGATGTGCAGGCAGCTTTTAGGGCACAGCGTAGGCCAGGCCACAGCTTGCTAGAACAGTTGTAGCAAAGCCCCACAGACTGGGGGCTTAAATTTCAGTATCTCACCATTCTGGAGACGAGAAGCCCAACATCAGGGTGTTGGGGGGCCATGCTGTCTCTCAGGGCCCCAGGGAAGGATCTGTTCCAGGCCTCTCTGTGACCTTCTGCTGGTTCCTTAGCTTGCGGCGTCCTCCCTGTGTGTGTGTGTCTGTGTGCAAACCTCCTCTTTTCCTGAGGATACTAGTCCTTTTGGATCAGGGGCCACCCTCCTCCAGGATGTCCTTATCTGAACTGATGACATGTCCATTGTCCCTGTTTCCAAATAAGGCCATATTCTGAGATGCTAGGGGTTAGGATGGCAACATGCAAGTTTTTGGGGGGACCCAGTTCAACCCATAACAGGCCATGTATCCCGTATTCAGGGTCAGGGAAGGTTTCCTGGAAGTATAATAGAGAGACCTGATGGTTGAAAAGGAATTTTTCAGATGAGAAGAAAGAAAGGAACAGAAAAGCACTGGGGAACCAAATCTCAGTCACTGCATCTGGGGCGAGTGAGCTGAGAGGGGCAGGCGTGAGGGGCAGCAGGAGATAAGCTTGAAGGCAAGAATGGACAAAAGTGGTGGGATCCAGCTTTAAGGATGGGACTTCTCCAAGAGCACCAGGGAGCTATTGCAGAGGTCTGAGCAGGCAAGTGCCCAACTCACTGCCTTGGGGCGGATTGAAAGGGGTAAGATAAAAAAGAGCCCAGCTGGGACAGCATTAGTAATTCAGTGGGGAGGTGACTGTGCCCTGTAGCAGGCTTGAGAGCCATCTCCAGAATTGACTGACATTTGGGAGGCAGAATTAAACAAGTGTCGGCAATGGAGTAGGTGCTTGGAGGGCGCTGGAGAAGGAGGAGGAGGAGCAAGGCTATGACTGGCTCACGTGCTGGCTCACCTGGAAGATGGCTGCAAAGGAAGAGGTTCGGGGCTGGTGTGGTGTTCACTATGGCACGTGTCTGTTGATTTTGAGGTGCTCGAGAGGCATCAGAAGGGAAATTGCACATGAGGCACTGTGTTCATGGTTGGAGACCTGGCAGCTTTTAGCCCATAGATGATGAGAGTCTTGGGAATGGTGCTCAGGTAACAACTGAAGCTAGGACCAAGGTCTTTCACTCGCTGTCCAGTGCAGATTGCCTGGGCTCCTTCTAATGCCTCATCCAAGTTTTTCACCCACCCATCCATTCATCCAGCAAGTATCTATTAAGCATCTACTGTGATAGAATCTAAAATAAATGGTTAAACGTTTATTAGTTAATGACAGAGTTCTAAGACCCTCCACTCAATACCCTTTGCCCCAGTGAACAAATTAATATCCATTTATTGAGCAACTTGTGTGTAAAGGCTGACATAGAACTGTCGGTCTACATTTGCTAAGAGGTTATTCAACTCACGGGAGCGGCCAAGTGGTAGTACCATTCCGCAGTATGTCAGTGGTTCTCAAATCCTGAGTGCAGCCTTGTCTCAGGCTGGCTGCATGAGGATCACCAGAGAGGCTTTTACAAATCAACATTCCCAGACCCCATCCTAGTGAACTGACTCAGAGGTTGGTCCCCCAAATCCCCATATGTAATTAGTCCTGTCTCCATTACCTAATAATGTTAACCATTGAGCATCTCCATCAAGTCAAAACTTGGACCCTATATCATAAGTGTTACTTGAATGACCACTATTTCCTAAGTAGTGGAGTTGAGATTAATAAGGTTTTACTCTGAACATATTCTGAGATCCTCATGTCTTTGTAGAAACTTCAGACTTGCTTAGTTTACAGGGCTGTTTGGCCAAAGGTTGGTGGTAGGGTGGGGTGGAGGCTCTGTGTGTCCCAGAGGTGAATCTGTTTGGAAATCAACGTAGCATCTCTTTACACAGTACCACCTAACTTATAGTGTATCTCAGCAGTTCTCTTAAGCCTGGTGCCCAGACCAGCAGCATCAGTATCAACTGAAAACTTGTTAGAAATTCTTGGGTCCCACTCGTGACGTGACCTACTGAATCAGAACTCTGCAGGTGAGGCCCTGGAATCTGTTTTACAAAAGCCCTCCAGGTAGTTCTGATGTCCTCTTAAGTGTGAGAGCCACTGGCTTATAGAGTAGAGGCTCAGCATACGCTGGCTGGGTGAGTGTTCCTGAACCAGGTCTCATCTGCTGGTGCCCAAGGCAGCAACTTCTCTGAATTTAACAGTTAGGGACAATGACATCCCAAGCCTGGGGTACTGGTGCAATAGGAAGGTAGCACTTCTGATCTTTCTTGTGTTCTCTGAGGTTCTTTTTTTTATTTTTATTTTTATTTTACTTTTCTATTTATTTTTTTGAGATGGAATCTTGCTCTGTTGCCCAGGCTGGAGTGCAGTGACATGATCTCGGCTCACTGCTAGAATGCCTCCCAGGTTCAAGCAATTCTCCTGCCTCAGCCTCCTGAGTAGCTGGGATTACTGGCCCGTGCCACCATGCTCAGCTAATTTTTTTTGTATTTTTAGTAGAGGTGGGGTTTCACCATGCTGGCCAGGCTGGTCTCGAACTCCTGACCTTGTGATCCATCCGTCTCAGCCTCCCAAAGTGCTGGGATTACAGGCGTGAGCCACCATGCCCGGCCTCCGAGGTTCCTTTTTCATCAGTGCTGAGAGGTCTCCTAGATGGGGTTAGGAGTTCCATTTAGCCAGAAAAGCAAATGAATGGACTTAGTAGAATTTGGACCCTTGCCCTCAGCTCAGTCCTTGTAAGCAGCTGAGCGTCTTGGGGTTTAAAGCAGCCATTGCCCCTACACTCCTTTTGTCTAACAGGGCACGGGCGTGTTTCTCTTACTTGCCAGTAGCCCTGAACCTGCTGGAAACCCACCCGATGTTTTGGATCCTGCCACTTGGTCCAATTTCCTTCCAGCTGTCCTATTTTACACTTTATTTGCTGAATTAGCACATTGGTGCTGTTGAAGTTCAAAGGAAGCCACAATGTGGTGTCTGTTCAGCATGTGCTGATACCCAAGAGGCTGGGCTTCAGTCGTGTTTCTACTTATTGTGGCCCACATGGGCTTCAGAGAGGCAGAGAGGAAAAATTCAGCATACTTCCTGCATAGGTGAAGATTAAGGTGGGATCAGTTAATTTTTTGTTGTCACACCATTATTTAGAAACACCTAAACAAATTCATTCAAATAATTAATCTTTTTTTGAGGCTGGAAAATTTTCCCAACAAAATATGTTTAACCTAGGAAAAGTTAGAAATGCAAATAAACATAAAAAGGAAAATAAGTAATAGCGGTAATGCTCTCATCTTAAGGTAACCACTGGTTCTAAACTTGTTTTTCCATTTTTACAGCTGTGTGACCTTAGAAGAGTTGCTCAACCTTTCTGAGCCTCATTCCCCCCCGCCCCCGCCCGCCGCCATCTACACAGTATCTCCTTCAGGTTCATGACTTTGAATGGCAAAATGACTTTTAAGTTCATAATAGTTGCTGGGTTTTAGTAGGTGACTGACTTGAACTTTTTTCTCTGCCTACTCCATGTTTGCCATCACCATCCTTCCTTTGTTTTAGGAATGAGCAAGTATTTTTCTTTTTTCTTTTTTCATTGTCAGTATTCAACATAATGTGAGCAAGTATTTTTTTTTTTCCTTTTGTTTTGTTTTGTTTTGTTGTTGTTGTTGTTTTTGACAGAGTCTTGCTCTGTCAACCAGGCTGGAATGCAGTGGCATGATCTCGGCTCACTGCAACCTCAGTCTCCTGGGTTTAAGCGATACTCCTGCCTCAGCCTCCCAAGTAGCTGGGATTACAGGCATGTACCACCACAGCCAGCTAATTTTTGTAGTTTTAGTAGAGACTGGGTTTCACCATGTTGGCCAGGCTGGTCTCAAACTCCTGACCCTAGGCGATCTGCCCGCCTCAGCCTCCCAAAGTGCTGGGATTATAGGTGTGAGCCACCACGCCTGGCCTGAACAAGTATTTTTAAGCAAAAGAAACAGGCTGACAATTCACAAGTTATCATTCATGTCCCATGATGCCGTTTGTACTTAAATATAATGTTAACTCTTTTAGAAAAACAAGAAAAGGACTCCTTGTAAATTACTGCCTTTAATACTTGCACAGAACAAAATACTAGCCCAAATGTTGTTGTTGTTTTTAACAACCTTTCAGCAGCTATGAATTTTACGTGTGAATATACATGTATGTCTTAGATTGCTGGAGCTACTCTGCTTCCCGAGAACATGAAAAGACACTCTGAACACTTTTGGAAATATACACAGTAGCAGGAAGTAGACTGCCCTGTCTGTCCTGAGGCATCATGTGAAGTTGGATTGCTCTTGGTTAAATGTGCAGCCATTAACCACATATGGTTGTTTGGTCTACGCTGCCCATTTCACAAGTGCAAATACAAAAGCACCCTGTGAGCAGATGACGCCGTAAATATGATTTCCTTTTTGCAACACGCCATACAGTTGTATTAACTGTGGATCTCTTGGCCCATCCTGGGAAGAGAAAGGCTGATTTTCTCGGGGTCCCAGTGGCACAGGGTTCCTGGTTCAGGCCTCATCACTGACCACAGTAATACAAAATTTTCAGGACACCACAGGAGACACAAATGAGTGAAGAAAAGAGTGATTTTTTTTTTTTTTTTTTAGACGGAGTCTTGCTCTGTCGTCCAGGCTGGAGTGCAGTGCCGCAATCTCGGTTCACTGCAAACTTCGCCATTCTCCTGCCTCAGCCTCCCGAGTAGCTGGGACTACAGGCGCCCGCCACCACGCCTGGCTAATTTTTTTGTATTTTTAGTAGAGACGGTATTTCACCGTGTTAGCCAGGATGGTCTCGATCTCCTGACCTTGTGATCCGCCCGCCTCAGCCTCCCAAAGTGCTGGGATTACAGGTGTGAGCCACCGTGCCCGGCCAAGAGTGATGTTTTTTTAAAGTCATGTTTTAAAAGGACTTATTTTAATGGGAGCATGAGTTTATTTAATGCGTTTGAGGCCAGAAGTGTGAAACGCTGTGTAGAGCTGGTTTTGATAGAGAGATAAAGCATTTTAACATTAATTGGCAGGGCAAGTGAAGGGCATTTTGAGGTTGTACCTTTGAAAGGTAAAGTAAATAAATATGCCAGGATTTTGAAGCATTAACAACGGGTATAGAGCCACAAGTCCTGTTCCTGTCTTCACACAGAGGGTTTGGGCCAGATAACATACGAGACCACCTCTGAAATAGTTATTCCTCAGTGCTCTGTGGCCCTCTGGGGGTCAGAGAAGCCATGTATGAATAACACATTTGATTGAGGAAATAACTATGGTCAGTAAATGTTTGTAAAGAAAAGGTACAGCCTTCACACTTAACCTTTTGATCAGAGCTGCAAAGAAGTAGTGAAACAGTATTGGAGTTCTAGCTCCTGGAGTGACAGGCCTCACTGGTAGATAGAGAAAGGGGACTGAGTCACAGAGACCCTATGTTCTCAGTTGGAGATGTTCTTTACAAGGTGGTTCATCCCATTTCCCTGCCCTCCAACTGCAGAGGTGCGTGCACCTTCCTGCAGATTGTAACACGGGGTAGTCTGGGTACCCTGTCTTTTCTCTGTTCCTTCCCAAAGTGGGTCCCATCTTCTGGGGACAGGTGCTTCCCTCTGAGGCCCTGTTGTTTCTCCTAGACCCATACTTAGCTTTGGGCTGTGTCACCGTCACGTGAACCCTGACACTGTTGCTGTCTCCCCTTGGGCCATGGTGTCTGGCTGCTGCTCCAGCGTACTGTTGCTGTCCATTTGCCCCTTGAATTGCACCCAGGCTACATTAGGAATAGTAGGTAGCATTCTGGGCATTTGGTGTCTTGGGTTTGTAAGAAAATGCAGCTAGCGGCTGGGTGCGGTGACTCACGCCTATAATCCCAGCACTTTGGGAGGCCGAGGTGGGCAGATCACCTGAGGTCAGGAGTTTGAGACCAGCCTGGCCAACGTGGCAAAACCCTGTCTTTACTAAAAGTACAAAAATTAGCCGGGCTTGGTGGTGGGCGCCTGTAATCCAGCTACTCAAGAGGCTGAGGCAGGAGAACTGTTTGAACCTGGGAAGCAGAGATTGCAGTGAGCCGAGATCACGCCACTACACTCCAGCCTGGAGGACAAGAGTGAGACTCTGTCTCAAAAAAAAGAAAAAAAAAAAAAAAGAAAAGAAAAGAAAATGTAGCTAGCTCTGCATCCTAGAAGACTTGTACTGTGTGGTTGGTGTTTAAACATTACCTCCCACAGCTGAACCTTGCTGGGCAGCCCAAGATAACAGACTGGCCCAGCTACACATTAAACCAGCCCAGGTGTGGTCTGCGTGGGCAGTGTGGGTGGAAGAACAGATGTTTGATTTTAAGGTAACTGTGTACCATACATGAGGAATAGGAAACATGGAAGTACCTGGAAAGATAAAAGGATTAACTCAATGTCCTTTTCTTGGCTCTTAAAAGAATTCAACCCTTGTACTAAATAAATCTCACCTCACACCAGCCAGAGAGGGAAAGGTGGCTTCTAAGTGAGAATGAGCGTGGACAGTGGAATGGCTGGGTGTGTTATAAAAGGGGCTGGCATGGAATGAGGGCCAAGCCCCTCCACCACTCACAGCCCCTGCTGCCTCCTGCTCTGCAACAGAAGTGCCCAAGCCCAGGTGGGCAGGTGGGCAGTGGGTGGTGCCAGCCTCTGAGCCACAGAGGAAGCCTGGATGGGCCTGGGGAGTGAAAGGTGCAATAATGAGGGGAGTATACTCGATCAGACAACAGCCATGGTGGGGGGACTTGGGCTCATGGGCTTGCTGGGGGCTGTGGTGGGTCTGAACCCCCAGTCACTGGGTCATCCGGGGACAGCCTGGCTGAGCTCCCGCTGATGGTGTCTTGTCCTTGCTTTTTCCTCTGTGAAGGATGGAGGCTGCACGTGTCCAGGGGATGTCGCCAAAGCATTTGGTAAGGCCGGGCCCTGGTGCAGAGGGAGGGAAGGAAGGAGGAAGAGAGCTCCTTGCACCTCTCCAGGTGGCAACCTGAATGAGGAGGGGGACCTGCTGGGGAAGTTCTGGGCCTCCTGGAGTTTCCTCTCCCTGGGTTTCAGCCCCAGTTGGCCCAAATCCCAGCATTGATTTGGTTCTGGTCCGTGGTAGAGCAGGCCACAAATGCCCTAGGAGATGGATCTAGGCGTAACGTCCTGCAAGCCAGGAGGGGGTGAAGTCAAGGCCTTTTCATCCCAGGGAAGAGAAGGCTCAGGGGACCTGTCCGAGGGGACCGTGACAGGTGTGATGTGTAGGAACTACAGACGGGGTTTTTTGGACCCAGCCTGGAGAAGTCCCGTGGAAGGGACTGGAGGAATCCCGCAGCGATTTCTCACTGGAGGCTGGAGCCTGCCTCCCACTAGGGGGCAGCAGTGCCTGCTGTGAGCCCGTGGGATTGGGGATCAGGGAGCGGTGGTGGGTGGGCAGCAGGTCCTGAGCTTTTCTCGGGAAAGCACTAGACGGTCCAGTCTCTCAACACCACAAGCAGTAAAGTACAGCTGCCGAGCCCCGTGTTGGCCACTGAACTGCAAACTGCATTCAGAAGTCAGAGCTGGCCGTGTGGCTGCGGGCTCCAGAATTGAAATGGGGGTTGTGGGTGCCGGCTGGAGCAAAAACGAAGCTCTCACGCCTCAGCCCTTTGCTGATGCCAGAAAAAAAAAATGGTGGCAGGAAACTTTCTGTCATAGGAATTCTGGGGTGTGTGTGTGTGTTTTGTTTTGTTTGTTTGTTTGTTTTCAGGCTGGGTGCGGTGGCTCACACTTGTAATCCCAGCACTTTGGGAGGCTGAGGTGGGCGGATCACTTGAAACCAGGAGTTTGAGACCAGCCTGGCCAATATCCCCATCTCTACTAAAAATGCAAAAAAAATTACCTGAGTGTGGTGGTGCACACCTGTAATCCCAGCTACTCAGGAGGCTGAGGTGGGAGAATCACTTGAACCTAGGAGCCAGAAGTTGCAGTGAGCTGAGATCACGCCACTGCACTCCAGCCTGAGTGACAGAGTGACCTGTCTCAAAAAAATGTAAAAAATAAAAATTAAAAAATGTTCAGACAATAACCCTGATAGTGACAAAGGAAAACGTTAGGACAGTGTTCTTAGCAACAAGGTTTCATAGCAACCCAAAGAATGTCATGAAAAATGGGATTTAACCTCATCCAAATCATAAATCCTATCTGTGGAAGGGAATCTACAGACCCTCCAGTGATTCCAGCTTCTTATTTTAAGGTGGAGGGGACTGAGGCTCTAGGAGGGAATGACAAGGTCACAGTCCTACAATCAGGGGGCAGAACAGGGAGAACACAGTGCCTCTGCTAACTGGTGTTGTCACTTACCCTGTAGTGTAAGGATCTTCGGCCAAGGGCATTTTTACGATTGGTTTTTGAGTTGAATCTACTTAATACAGGTGGTGGTCCATCTTGGACTCTTTTGTATTGCCTCACACATGCTCTCTGTACACAGAGAGAGCCGAACACACTTTAAAGTGGCTGGTTGTTGAGAAGGTGCCTTGTAGATCCCAGTTCCTGGCTTTGGACCACACTCAGCTCAGTCTCCTTTGGGTGGCATTCCCTCTTCCACTGTCTCGCAGTCAGTGTAGCCATACCCGTGCCAGGACTCAATGGAGTGAGAGGGACCATGTCAGGGAAGGATGCAAGAGTGTCCCGAAATGAAAATGGCTGGGAACCCCCTCAAAGCGTTCTTTCAGTGGGTCTGTGCTCTGCGCTCCTGCTGTTGACATCTGCTCCTTTGCAGCTGCCGAGGAGGTGCTGTGCTCCTGAATTGTGGTCATCAAGAATCCTGGCTGGACACCAGTTATCCTCTGTCTCGTTAAAATTATGGCAGGAGGACCAGGGAGTCACATTCGTGTTAGGAACCCCAAAAGGGAGGGTCTTCAGAGGTTGCTGCCACGTAGGAAGGTTGCGTTGTGCTTTGCTTCCCTGAGTGCCAGAGAAGCGTGCCTTTCCGTCATGCTGAACGGAAGGGGCTGTAACGCCAATGCAAAACCCAGAGTGCTCTGCCAATGTTTAAATGACCAAATCAAAGGTATCAGGACCACTTTCAGGGGTTCCTATGTTTCCTCCTCCTAATTAGGATTTGCCAGGCTCCCCTCCTCCTTCATCCTATTACTTAATACATTTGTACCCGGCTACTGTCTTGTTCTGTTCTAAATGTAAACCCTCAGTAGGATTACTCAGGGGAGGTTGTAGCAGTTTCTTAGTTAATAGGCAGTGAAGAATCCCTCTGCACAGTGATCCATGAACAAGATGGGGAATGATAACTATTTTTATTATTTCTCCCACATGTTCTTTTTACTTTCTTGACAGCTAATCATTCAGCATCTACCATGTGCCATGCACTTGGGATAAACATAGAGCCAGCCCTGGGCCTGTTCCAGCATAGCCCACAAAGACAGGCAGCTTCAGTACCTCTGTCTCCTGTGCCTGTCCTGGAAATGTGCTGTCATTCGGTGATTAGTCTGGCAGAGTGTTTACTCTGGAAGTCTAATGCGTAGCACTGTGGTGGTGCGGGTAGAGTATCACATGACTTCCATGACACCGGGGCTTCTTTCCTTGAAGCTGTCTCTAGTGTAGGCGCTTCAATCTGTTCTGAGGCCCTTTCCTGATGTATAAGCACAGGGAATGTCAGAGTGCGGAGAGCTTCATATACAGACCAGACACCTGAGGGGGCATCATAGAGGAGTCATAGCATTAAGCACAAGATTAGATAACATGCTTTCTAAGATACTGCCCCCTTTTTGTTTTTTGAGATAGAGTCTCCCTCTGTTGCCCTGTTGCCCAGGCTGGAGTGCAATGGCATGCTCTCAGATCACTGCAACCTCTACCTCCCGGGTTCAAGCAATTTCTGGCTAAGTTTTGTATTTTTAGTAGAAATGGGGTTTTATCATGTTGGCCAGGCTGGTCTTGAACTCCTGATCTCAAGTGATCCACCCACCTCGGCCTCCCAAAGTGCTAGGATTACAGGCATGAGCCACCGCGCCTGGTGGAATACTGCCCAATTCTTAATGTTTCTCTGATTCTAAGAGAGTTAGATCTGAGGAAGGTGCTCCTAGTTAGCCATTAAAACCATTCAGCATGGTCCAGTATATAGGACACTAGCCTTCAGTGGGCTGCGTTTGTTTCTCCCAGTGTCGCATGGCCCTGTCTCCCTGCATGGAAGCCTTCCTTTTTCCAGGAGATAGACAGGAGAGGTCCAGCCTTTCTCTTGGCTATAGCTGTGGGGGAGGGGGATGAACTGGGCAAGCACTTGGATTTTTTGAGAGTCTGTTTCCCCTGAGCTCTTTTCTCCGCTACTCCCTTTTATCCCCACCGTCGGCATTTAGGAGCTGGAGCAGATTTTGTCATGCTGGGAGGAATGTTTTCAGGTCATACGGAGTGTGCTGGAGAAGTGATTGAGAGGAACGGACGGAAGCTCAAGCTCTTCTACGGGATGAGCTCTGACACGGCCATGAAGAAGCACGCAGGAGGAGTTGCTGAGTACAGGTGAGGAAGTGGCCCCGAAGCTCACTCTCGAGGCCTGGCCTTGCTCTTGTTTCTTACGGAGATGGGATGGAAGCAGGTTTGAACAGCAGCTCTGTGTATATTAACGTACTGTGGGAAGGGGTTCTTTTAAAAGAGGACTTTGTATCCAGTTAGCATTTGCAGTGTTTGGGGTTCCCAAAAGCAAGTACAGAGAAGCAGTGTTTGGGGACTGGTTGGAAGTGTGACCAGGGGTATATGTGAGTGGGTACCAGTCCTGAAGGGAATACTCCAGACCTCTGGGGGTGGGTGGAATTATTGCCTTGTCCTTCCAGTAGAGCCTGTGCTGAGCTATCCCTGTAAGCTTAGATCTCTGGCTTGAAAAGAGTTCAGAATGAAAGGATTGAGTTGAAGAATGGCTTTCCTTTTGCACAGAAAGCCATAGGTGTGCCCGGCCTTTCCTGAAGAATGCTGCATACAGCTCATACTGCGTCTCACCTGCCTCCAGGCTCTGAGAGTTGACACAGCAGCATTTTCAGCCATTTAGTTGTGTCATCCACTGTAGAAGTGGGGCTTACTTCTGCTGATGTGTGTTTATTTTTTTTTTGTTTGTTTGTTTGTTTTTTTGTGGAGGAGTCATGCTCTGTCGCCCAGGCTGGAGTGCAATGGCATGATCTCAGCTCACTGTAACTTCCGCCTCCCGGGTTCAAGTGATTCTCCTGCCTCAGCCTCCCGAGTAGCTGGGATTATAGGTGCCTGCCATCAAGTCCAGCTAATTTTTGTGTTTTTAGTAAAGATGGGGTTTCGTCCTGTTGGCCAGGCTGGTCTCGAACTCCTGACTTCAAGTGATCCACCCACCTCGGGCTCCCAAAGTGCTGGGATTATAGGCATGAGCCACCGCGCCCGGCTCCTGATGTGTGTTTTTAATCCATGGTCTCCAAAGACACCTGGGTCTTTTCCTGATTCACTTCCATTTTAACTGTCTGCATGTGTGTTTTAAGAACCTGATGATGGGGCTAGGCACAGTGGCTCATGCCTGTAATCCCAGTGCTTCCGGAAGCCAAGGTTGGAGGACTGCTTGAGCCCAGGAGTTCCAGTTAAGCCTAGGCAACATAGCAAGACCCTGTCTCTACAAAAAAATTAAAAATTAGCTGGGTGTGGTGTCACGTGACTGTACTCCCAGCAACTCAGGAGGCTGAGGCAGGAAGATGGCTTAAGCCCAGGAGTTGGAGGCTGCAGTGAGCTGTGATCGTGCCACTATGCTCCAGCCTGGGCAACAGAGTGATACCCTCCCAAAAAAAAAAAAAAAAGAAAAAGAACCTGATGACGGTATACTCACTGCCTCACCGTGCTCCATAGAGCCTACTGTTATTCTCATCAGGATTAGTGCCGACAACAAGCTATACAAAACGGGGGCAGGACCAAAGGTCCTCCATCCACAGAGGGAAGCTGGCTGTGAATCGGCTGGTTGCTTTTCTCCAGGAAACCTCAGGCTTCTCCCTCCAGTTTTCAGACTCTATCCCGTGCTGGAGTGGAAACCTAAGCCCTCCCTGGCTGACACCCTTTATTTCTTACCACTCATTCCACACCCAGAGGGTCATTTTGAGGACCTGGGATTCAGATGTATTATATAAGGTTCATATCAAGCTAGCAGCAAAATCTCAGAACTCCATTGAGATTTGTAGGTAGGGGGATTGGGGGGTGGGGTGTATTCTACCAGAGTTCTGTTCTTCTGTGGGGTTCTAGCAGACTTACTTCAGTTCTCATTCACCTCAGTCTCTTTCTCTTTTGGTGGTGAACCCCAATAAAGATATTATAATATGGGAAAAGCAGGATGGGAAAGATTGATGGGGACTGCGCCAATCAGAAATGAGAGATGCACTTCTTCCAGGTAGTCCCCGAAGCCCTCTTTCCCCCACGCGGTCCCTGATAGATGAGGAGGTTGCACGGTTGGGTAAGGAGGAGGCACTAAGCTGGACCTATGGCCAAGAAGCTTCGTGCTTTACCAGCAACTGTTGTCATCATCCAAGGGCCTGCATGTGTCTCCTCTGTGCCAGAATGTAAGTGGAGCTTTCATGGGTGAGCAGCAGCTAGGTGCTTTGCCTGGAGTACCTTTTTCACCCTCGTGGCTGCATCTTTTTTGGGTTCTAAAAACAATTATAGAATCGGGAAGGCCAGAGCAGGCTATGGCACAAACAGAAGCCAGAGAGCTGAAAGAAAAACCATCTCCTGTAATTTCAGCAGTGTTTAGATATAACAGAAAAAAAAAAAAAAGATTCAGCAGTAGCAAGACTGTATTCTGGAAGTGGATTCAAATCTTTAACCAGGAAGAAAGTTGCTGAGAAAATTAGAACCTTAATCCGAAGGCTGCAGCCTGAGCCTTGCAGGCTGTACCTGTCCTGCCTTTCTGTTTCTGAGTCTCAGTCTCTCTCTCTCTCTCTCTCTCTCTCGCGCAGTTTTCAGCCTCATGACCATGATCTCATCATGAGAATGCTTCCTGACTTTCACAAATTACTTGTGGCACAGTTATGTACACACTGCTGGTTCTTTCCCTATCATTTCATTCTCATGCTGTCCCCGGGAATGAAGTACCTTCATTTTACAGATGAGCAGACTTAAGCATCAGCAAAAAATGAGCTCTAGATTCACACCAGTGAGAATCTAGAAATTTCCAACAAGCTCCAGGAAGGCCATGGAAATATCTTACGAAAACGAAATGTCAGTCATTGCAGGCACATGTGTACAGACACCTGTCTGGGGTCACGGAGTGCTGAGCCCTGAACTGTCCTGGGTATGGCCAGTGACTTTGGCTTCCTGAGCTTGGGGCTCTACACTGGCTGATGGTTTAAGTAGCTAGATTTTACCCAAGGGTAGTCCTGCCTGTTCAGCGACCAAGAGTTAACCCCCTTTTGAAATTCTAGGTAACGAATGTCTGGTCAAGAGATGCTCTTCAAGGCAGGTGGATCACCTAAGGTCAGGAGTTCGAGACCAGCCTGGCCAACATGGTGAAACCCCATCTCTACTAAAAATACTAAAATTAGCTGGGAGTGGTGGCAGGCACCTGTAATCCCAGCTACTCAGAAGGCTGAGGCAGGATAATTGCTTGAACCCAGGAGGCAGAGGTTGCAGTGAGCCGAGATTGTGCCACTGCATTCCAGTCTGGGCGACAAATGCAAAACTTCATCTCAAAAAAAAAAAAAAAAAAAAAAAGAGAGAGAGATGCTCTGATGCTCTTTTTCAACAGCTGAAGAGAATGGCTACAGAAGGTTCCAGAATTTGGGTACTTGTTAGAACTTGCATGGCCCTTAGATGAGAACTAGAGTTTTGCCTAGATTTCAGATTTCCTTCTGGTAATACACACATGTGTAATATACATACATTCTGGTAATATATACATGTGTCTGGACCACATCCCCATTTTGCAGTAAGGGGACATGACCTGTGTTACCCAAGTAACAATCAAGCAGTGTTACATGGTGGCCTTGTGAAGAGAGGGACATGGGCTCATTGGGGACAGTGAAATGTTGCTTAGTGTTCACGCCATAGGCCAGACCTTCTGAATTTCTAAATACTCCTCTGAAAATGTGAAAGATACTATCCAAAGCCTGGAAGCCTCCGGTGCTAAGACAGGTCTCGGTTCTCCTCTGATTCCACCTTGCTTGGACCCACACATGTGCAGGGCGATAGGTGTAGTGACCTGTAAGAACAGGGAGGCAAACTGGGGGTGGCTGGTGTACCCAGCAAAGCAGAAAGACAGGCAGGCTATCAGAATGGAGCCACTTTAATGAAATCACCTTGCTGGTGATTTCCACGTAAGCTAGTAGGACCTGAGTTACCCATTTTATGTCCTCGTCCTGGTCGTCCCCCTTGAAGACACTTGGTTTCTGATCTAAGAGCAGGCAGGAGGTGAAGCTCTGGACTTTCCCTGTTGTTGATCAGGAGGGCAGGAGGCTGTTTCCAGGGGGAATCTGCCAGGGCCACTCTGGGGACATTTTGGGCTCCTGGTTGTTGGGAAGTTGGTGTGCGTGTTGAGGTAGAATAGAAAGGTAAAGGTGGTTTCTGTTAGGGGCAGAGGGGAGCACGTTGCTGGAGAGAATGGCACAAAGCGGGGTGGTATGGGTCCCCAACTCCTTCAAGTGCTACTCACCAGGACTTCCCTCTCCCCAGCGTGCAGGGCAGCCAGCAATGAGCCCGTGCCCTTTGGGTGGGAGGAATGTGTTCGTCTGAGATGCTGGTGATCACGCTGGCACTTGGTAGAAATGTGGGGATGGGGTCAGAGGGTGGGGTCTGGTTTTCTGAGTGCCTTGGGGGCTGCACAAAGTGCTGGAGCTGGGAATAATTCTAACTGGGCTCTTAAGGGCATGGGGGTGGGGAACTAGATAAAAAGAAAACTTACTTTGTCTTCCAGAGCCTCTGAGGGTAAGACTGTGGAAGTGCCTTACAAAGGAGATGTGGAAAACACTATCCTGGATATTCTCGGGGGACTGAGGTCCACGTGCACCTACGTGGGGGCCGCCAAACTCAAGGAGCTCAGCAGGAGGGCAACGTTCATCCGGGTGACCCAGCAGCACAACACCGTGTTCAGCTAACCCCGGGAATGAAACGGCGTCTGGCTCGAGTGGAAGCATCCAAACCTGCTTTTCCCATCTCCCTCCTACTCTGTTCCGTCAGAGCTTCTGGCTGCTCCCGAATGGTGGAATGCTGTGTCCTCTCTCCAATCTCCTGCTGCCTGGAGGCTTCGGGGCTCTCCCGCCTGCCTTCTCGGGGCCCAGACACAAGGCACCGATTGGGCCAACATCAGAGCCCTGCTGCCCAGAACTCACAACCTCATTGTTCAAACCAACACTCGCACCTTTCTTTTTCTCTTTCTCTCTCCCTTTGTTTTTCTTTCTTTTTTAAAAGAAGATGGTTTCACTTTAATATAATGCTATTAAGACTTGATGGAGTTGCTGGAGTTTGTACTTGCAGGAGTCAAGTTGAATGGTTTGGGATTTGTTTTGCTGTCTTCCTGGATGGGCCGGTGGCAAGCCACTCCTGGTGATTAGCAGACAAGTCACCTTAGGAGGGGCAAGGAGAGGAGGACGGTGCGGGAGCCGGGGGAGGACGGTCCGGAGTCAGAGTAACTGGCATCCCCCATCTCTAGCTTTTGGTTGTTGCAAAAGAACGAAAGCAATTAACTGGACAGATGTAACATGAATTGTTTTCCCAGCTGATACTCACAAAGTTGGGCCAATGTGTTTTCCCCGCAAGTTTCATTACACGTGCTTTTCAGGGTCAAGTCATCTGTTGCTATCAGTTTGCTGTCGCTTTTAGGAAGCTGTCCCTGTCCTGGCTTCTCATTTCGTTTTGTTCTCCTCCATCTTTTTTTCCCCCCCTTCTCAGTCCCAACTTGTCTGTCTTTGAAATTCCACAGGATGTTTTATGGGAAGGTTGTCTCCCAAGAAATTAGCAGATGGAGTCACACTGAAAAACAGCCAAAGCTCTTCGATCAGTGGCATCCTAAAAGGCATTGGTTTGAGACATGAGTTAGAGCCATTCCCTCGGTGTGCCAGTGAATCCTTTCCCCGGGGGAAGGACCACAGGGCACTACTGTATACAGGTCAGTTAACGGGCTGGGAACAATGACATTGTCTTGGAGAACTGGCCTCTGCAGCTGACCTGCAGCAGCCCACCAGGATGCCTGTTTAAGTAGTGAACACAGAAGAAGTGATGACCGGCCACTTACCTTTGGCGTATTGAGTTCCAGGCCTGGAAAGCGTATGTAGAGCAGGATGTTTTACTTTACTTTTTAAGGCTGAAGAGCAGGTACACAAGTCAGTTTTCTTTGGAAAGGCAAGCAGTGACCCTGGAGTAGAGAAGATCCACAGGGTGCTGCTGTGCCAGGGTGAATGAATGGCCTGATTGTCCATGGTGACTGACGGCATGAGAAGGGTCCAACCAGAACTGTCACACTGGGATAATACAGGTCCACTGCTGGTCCTTTAAGAATACATTTATAAATCCAGCCAGCAGTGTTGACTCCAATGCAATACTTTCCCCTGCTAAATCCATTAAGAATTTTTTTTTTTTTTTTTTGAGGCAGGGTCTCACTTGTGTCACCCAGGCTGGAGTGCAGTGGCAGGATCACAGCTCACCACAGCCTCTACCTCCCGGGCTCAGGTGATCCGCCGACCTCAGCCTGCCTGCCACCATGCCCAGCTAATTTTTGTATTTTTTGTAGATAGGGTTTCACCATGTTGCCCAGACTGGTCTCAAACTCCAGGGCTCAAGCCATCCACCTACCTCGACCTCCCCAAAGTGCAAGGATTACAGATGTGAGCCACTGTGCCCGGCCCATTAAGAATAATTCTTGGACCTATAGAAACACAAGGGCTGCACTTTGGAGACGGGAGGGCCAAGAGGCTGTTTAACATGGAGCAAGACGTGGGGCTTGGCTGCAGGCTCCCCACCATGCTCTCTGTGGTCCTGTCTGTGTGAGGTATGAGGCTCTCACGCTGGTCCTGTGGAAGGTGTGTTTTACACACATCTTCAAATGTTAGTTTCTAACAGACTATTGCAAAATAAGGGAGAGGTGAAGGAGAGGACATCTTAAAGAAATCTATTAAAAATGGACCAGCAGTAGTAAGGGAGCTTCTTTCAGAACAGAGTGGTCAGGGAGGATGACACCCAGCTGTCGGCTTGCAGCACCCTGAGGGCTGTGTCCCTTGTAGGAACACGTGCTGCTTTACCCATCTTCTGTAAAAACTTTGCAGACTGGCCCTTTGTTTCCACAAACTAAAAGCAGATTCTTAGCAATCCAAGTTTTAGGGAAGTGGAGACTGAGTAGTTACGAAGTCAAAAACTCCTCAGGACCATTTTGAAACAGAGGCTTCAGAAAGAGAACCTTTTTTTTTTTTTTTTTTTTGAGACCAAATCTTGCTCTGTTACCCAGGCGGAGTGCAGTGGCACAATCTTGGCTCATTGCAACCTCCGCCTTGCAGGTTCAAGCGATTCTCGTGCCTCAGCCTCCAGAGTAGCTGGAATTACAGGTGCCTGCCACCACGTCCAGCTAATTTTTGTGTTTTTAGTTTTAGTAGAGACAGGATTTTGCCATGTTACCCAGGTGGTCTCAAACTCCTGGGCTCACATGATCCACCCACCTCGGCCTCCCAAAGTGCTGGGATTACAGGTGTGAGCCACTGCACCTGGCCCATAAAGAGAACTTGTAAGGCTCCATCACCCCTTGCCTTAGCAGGTTCATCTTTGCCTCTGAGAGGAATGGGACTGGGGGAGCCCACACCGGAGTGTCCCTTGGACCAGGTGTCCTACACGACCTGGACATGAAACATAACAGCCTTGCTGCCGACCCACTGGGCTTCCTGTGCCGGCGCTGGGGGAGGAGGAGGAGAGCCAGTGAACTCGATGCCATTCACCTTGGGCTGCTCTGGCTGCTCCATCTGAGGGCGCTGGCAATGCTTTTGATGGTTTCAAGGCCTGCCCCACTGCAGCACCTGAAGCTATGGTTTCCCCGAATTGATTTCACCAACTGAGGTAAGTAGCCCAGCCACTGGACCCCAAACTTGTCAGAACAAACAGCATCTCACACAAAAAGGGAAGGCAGAGATGCAGTCTGCTTTGCCAGGTTTGCCCAGAGCACACGGGCACATTTGCCCGGGCTACTCTAGAGGACCTGGGGCAGGCCTGCTAGCCTGAGCTACACCTACGCAGCTCTGGTTTGCTGTGCGTCCTTTCACATATTTATTATATAATGTGTCAGGACCTCAACTATTAAGTAATCAGAGGAGAGTCCAAAACACCATCCCAAGAAGATAGTTCCTCCTTGGCTAAGTGAAAATGAATTTAACCCCAAGCGTTCTGCCATCCCTGTGTCACCTTCAGGCTGGACTTGAGGTGGGTGCTGGACTTGAGGTGGCTTCCACCTGGAAGCCACGGGTTCTTGAGGAATTACTTTCTGGCACAACTGCTAAGCTACATCTTTCCAAGACGGCCCAGTGCAAAGCTGTACTGTGGTACTTTTGAGGTAAACGGGGTTCCTCCACATGCTGAGAGACCTGCTCAAAGAGTTGGGTATTTTTTGCTTTTGAGGCAGAGTTTTGCTCTGTTGCCCAGGTTGGAGCGCAGCAGTATGATTATGGCTCACTGCAGCCTCGACCTCCTGGCCCCACGTGATCCTCTCACCTCAGTCCCCCAAGTAGCTGGGACAACAGGCATGTGCCACCACACCCGGTTAATTTCATTTTTTGTAGAGATGAGGTCTTACGATGTTGCCCAGGCTGGTCTTGAACTCCTGGGCTCAAGCAGACCTCCTGCCTCGGCCTCTCTAAGTGTTGGGATTATGGGCGTGAGCCACTGTGCCCAGCCTGCTCGCTGAATTTCTAATGAGCTTGAATTACAGGAAATAAAAATAAATTTTCCACTTTCAGACCACTAACCAGTTTAGAGCAAATCTGTAAAGAGTGTATAGATTATGCCACATGAGCCCATGAAGCTACCACATGTTTAAAGACAAATATACCTCTTGTGAACAGCAGTGTTCAGCTAGGAGGCATAAACGTGAACTGAAGAAAGCAAGACATCAGGTATGGCTGTGTGCCTTTTATCTTAGAACCTCATCTCACACATACTCTTCACCCCAAAACATTAGCAGCGAAGGCAATGCCTCACGTCACACCTCCCCACCTCCGACCTACCCAGGGAGAACTTGTGAGCGGGAGTCAGTGAGGAGGAGGAATTAGCACTCTTTTCCTCTTCTTTGAGGACCCAACAGAAGGCAAAGACACACATCTGCAATTGGCACTGTTATTTTATTAGTACGAGTATACTGAAACAATAAACTTGTACTGGTATACAGACAATTTATTTAAAACAATTTTGTTCAAATTTTGAATCAAACATTGTTTTATTATAATAATGAAATAATTTCTACCTAGAAAACCTGCAAGCACCATCAAAGAAAGGGACCATAAAATTCAATAAACAGACTCGAGTGTATCCTACAAATAGACACACCACGATTAGAAAATAGAATATGAATTCTTCCATTTTTTAATATTTGTTTTAAAAAAGCTAGTGCAAGTACAATATTTTACACTGGAATTACAGAGAGTATGCACGCATATGGAAAAAAGTTCTCCTGTCACAATAAAAGCTCTTAACTATTATGTATGCACTTAAAATTTTCTTTTCAATAAGGTGCAAAACATCATTCCTTCCCTAGTTCTCCTCTGTACTGGCCATGTCAGTCTGGTAGTGCCCTCAACCCAAGTTCTGGTGTCTGTTTCCCTTGGCCTGTGGGAGGCATACGATTGGAAGTTTGGTGGGTAATGATCTGATATTAAAATATCCAGTGGTACGAGTCTCAGAGATGGCTCTGGAGCCAGGACTCCACTGGCTGGAAATGAAGACTGTCTAATCTGAAGGTCACCACAAGTACTGACAGGACTGTCTTGAAACCTCCTTTTGGCTGACACTAATTTGGGTTAAGAGTTGAGCAGTTCAGGCTGGGGAGAGGAAGAAACCCCGCCAAAAAGGGCAGTATTCACAGAACCAAATGCACAAGTATCAAGTTCCAATGCACTGACTAAAAGGATTTACCCCACTCCTGGACCAGATTACCAAAAGAGTAGGTGGTTCCTGTAAGAACCAGAGAAAACCTGTGCACTGAGCTGCTTGGTAACTGCTCTGAAGACAACAGCTTAAGCTAGTGTCACCTAATACTTGGTATTCTGGAGGACAGTATGTTATCTTGGTAAGGATTACTGTAAACAACGCTTCCAATGAAGGCCTTCAGATGGGCCACAGAAAAGGAGACAGGCTCATTGGCCATCCAGACAGCAAACAAACTAAAGGGAAAGAAAACGTGGGTGAAGCCTCCAATGTATCTGCAGTGGAAGACTTGAGTCCTTTCAGATAAGAAAAGGTATGGAAATTCTCAGAGATTG